GGATGACAGACAGACTGGGAAAAGAAGAGAATAAAAAAACAACAACTAATGGTTTTCAGTGTTTTTAGCATGAATTGAAATTTGTAAATAAAAATTCTTCCAAAAATCTGCATTTAACAACCAATCAGATTCACACCAAATCCCCGCAGTTTAACCTTTGTCAGTGTTTCCAGTGCCAACACTGTACTGCTATTCTGGCACAGCACTCAACCCTGAGACCCTGCAGTAAAATCTACAGATTTATGACACTGCAGACAATTCACCAGAGACAAAAACCTGTAATATTTTGCTCACAGTTAAAAGATGACACACTTACTGTACTGCATGAATAACAACCATGACGTTTGAAATGGGAAAAAGAAGCGCTGCAGACGTCAGCATTTCATGGCCGACTGAAAAAAACTAAAGTCCTCCTAAAATTGATTTTAAAGTTTCAGACTCGGCCATCCCAAATACACTTTTTATTTCTCAAATGCCTCACACATGCACCTTTTTTTACAGTTATGTTTTTTGTTGTTGTTTAAAGACGCAGTTTCAAATATTTACACCTCTTATACCAGAGATGTTGCTGGGTCCACTTCAAGAGTGTTCGTATTCCTACTAAACCTCATTGCTTTGATGCGTGTTGTTGAATAACATTATCAGACGCCACAGGGGAGCTTTAAATCTCTTAAAAGTTTTAGGATGTGTCATTAGCATACAGAAAAAAATGCGCCGAGTTCTCATGTGTTCCCCCAGGCGACGGCTAATGGTTCAGGCAATTGACTGAAAACGGCAGCATCTTCTCCCTCTGACTGGTTTCCCTCGGGGGTGTGCACATTCACACTTTCACTAGTCAATCTCTAATTTAATCTTAATGTAGCAGAGCAGGCCTTTACCGCCTACATCTAATGTCTTCATATTAGGGAAAAACCTTGAAAGTGGTGGAACCACTACAAAAAGCTTCTGCATGGTCACTGCAGAGGGAAGTGTAGTCCAAAGAAAAGAACAATGGAACCACATGAAGAGCTCTTTGGCGTCATCGTGATCTAATGGGTCTGTGATTCGGCCCATGGATGAAGATTTAAGTTCATGAGGAAAAGACCGAAAGTGAAAGTAAAGGCTTTTAGCTCCATCGATGCATTTCCCCTTGTATTCATGCTGGTTTTCTGATGTCAGTGCAGTAAATGAAAAAAATAAACAAATAATAAAATAAAAATAAAAAATGAGCTGGCACATCCTGATCGACAACTGCACAAGTTGTCTCTGGGGACGCAAAAAATTTTAACCGCTGGTTAAGACATTAAAATTAGGGAAATGTGATGCTGACAAAAAGGCAAATTGCCCTGTGCTTTATAGTTTGATGATAATGTGCTCTATTGCTTTGAGGTGTTGTGTTGTACATGTAAAAACAGTGATCATGAGCCGTTTTCCTGGGCTGTAAGAACAGCGTTTGATTGCTGCGCGCCTTCTCCGCCTTGAGCCGCGTCTTTTGTCATTCAAGCGAGTCTGCAAAGATTGTGCAGTCATGTGAACACAGCCGAGGTGATTGTTCTGGAGTCGCTTAATAGATATCATGGGAATGGTGTGTTGTCATAGCGAGCATCGCTATAGCGAATGCCCATGATGCAACAGCTTGGCATTTACAGCAGCGAATGAGTCATTTTATTTACTTTACGCTCACTTCTCCTGTCTTTCTTGTCCTTTATGTCTGTCCTTCAAATCATACTCTGGTACAATAAGGGAGTGCAATTGAATATTGATTCTTTTTTTTCTTCATGGAGCAGCTGTGCATTAAAAATGTGGCTTTGTTTTTAAGGCAGTGAGATATAATGTTATTGCAACAAAAAGGTAAGCTATTAGCCCTTTAAAAAAAAATGACAAGCATATGCAGACCATTAGTACTTGGTCTCAGTGCTGTGATGAGGACGTCATTGGTTAACTTTGTAAAGACAGCCTTCAAACGATGGAGGAGGAAAATACACGAGTGTTTGGCTGAACTACCTCTGTGGTACAGAGTGGAAAAATGCAGAAGGACGTTTTCTTTCTGAACAGAAACATCTAATGAAGTCTGGCCTGGCCATGCATGACTCAGGGACTTGCTGTGTGTATCAACTTTCATGTATGTGGCTTGGCTTGTCTGTCAGTAGGAACAGGGTAGGGGAAAAAACATCTACCAAAAAAAAAAAACTGTTTAATCAAGGCGGTAGATTCCGACACAGTTATTTGTATTGAATTATTTCTATTGAATTTACCCAGGAGATTTTCTGCCATACAGACCTGGTAATGGAGTCGTGAAAATGCATTGATTGATAAGTATCAGCAAAAACACGTCGATTGATTGACACATTGACTAAATGTCTTTTTCATCTTCTACTAGGATTCTACCACAGTGACACCGGTGACGCTAACAGTTGATCCCAAGGGTTATTTCCTGTATTGGACTGACCAGAACAAGGTGAGGAATCAAATATTCAATTAGTTTGAATGTTTTATCCTGTCAAACAGCTTATAATACAGGTTTGTATGGCTACAGTCCTGAGCTCTAATGTGAATGTTTGTTTGATTCTATATGTGGCTCGACAATAGACTGATGAAGTGATCCAGAATGTACAGCATGTAGATGCTGTGATTGGTGTCACAAATCAAAACGACACCCAGTTTTATTGTCAATGCTTTCTTTCTTTCTATTCCACCAGAACGATGATACTGTTTAAACAAAATGTCAGGACTGCTCTTTTGTCGTCCTTTTTACAGATTTACCTGTGATCCCTCGTGGCCTGCAGCCACTGATCCACTCACAGTAGTCTTAGTGAGGAAGTCTGAAGTCTCCCTCTGTGGATTTGTTAGACCCAATGCATTTGGTGTTGAGTGAAGTGTTGAGGAATACATTTAAGGCCGTGCTTTTCTTATAGCTGACTTGTTAACTCTGCTATGAGTAAGAAGATAACACTGTTAAAAAACAAACAAAACATTTTCTTTGGTTATCTATTTGGTTAATATTACTTTTATTTTTGTAAACATACACCTTAGAAATGCTGGGGGGGAAAAAACAATGTAATTTGATCCACGGATAACTGCCATGGCAACACCTGCAGAATTCTATTCTGGCCATCTGAGATGTCAGGTTGAAATAATAGCTGTAGGATTGTTACAGCGACAACACACAGTTTAATCCACATTAGAGTAATTGCAGGCTAATCCATAATGAACCTTTGTCTTTGAGTTGCTGTTTCCCTTTGGATGGCAGGTTTAAAGTTGCACTGTTTTATGAACTGCCCATTTCATGTTTAGGCATCAGAATGTCGAGCCATCTTTCCTTCAAAATATCAGTAGCACACCAGGAAGTGAGAATCTCATCGCCCAGGATTAGTCGACAGAAAGAGCAGCGCTGAAAACAGACAGAAATCTGAACTGCTGCACCTGCAGTGCTGAACGTGACACCTGTGAGAATACTCCGTAGTGCATTGTTTATTGTCTTTGCTGTACTTATGTACCCTCATAATAACCAGACCTTAGAGGGCAGAGCCTCGTTTTAAGGTTGAGCGAGAACTCCGAAATGGTTTCAGTTCAGTCGCGCTGCTATGGACTCTGGTCCATAAAATAAATACATATTTGCCGCTTTAGTACCTGTACCAGTTCCACTATATCCAACTCTGAAGAGCCTGACTGTTGTGGTGTCCTTGTGTGCTTTTTGTGTGTATAACTGTATCAGCACCGGCAGTCAGAGGTAGACTAATTAATAGCCATCATTGATTTTATGTTTGCCCAGATGAGGGTATTTCACTGGAGCCATGCAAGAGCGTAGACAGGAGTGCTGACCGAGACTTTACCCCTGCACACACACACAGACACACACACACGGCCACATGCACGCACATCGTAATGAGTGTTCTACTCTCACTGTTTGATAAGAGACGGGAGCTTTTATGTTTGCAGTCTCGTATAAATGAATGCATAATATATGGATAAAGAGGGGCTGCCTGCAGACTTTGCGTGTGCGTTTACGGTATTGTGATCAATCGATGAGGCGAGGTTTGGGAAGATGCACAGAGTGTGTGTTTGACCATGGACAACAAGCACCTAGAGTGTGTAAATACCCACCAGGAGAATAGATGGAGAAGCTTCAGCATCTCATTCCTCATTATTTCTACATTGGAGGTCACAGAGGTTGAGTTCTGAATGTGGCAGCTTTGAAAGTTTGCATTTCAGCATCTGTTCAGAGAGCGATCTCTCTGCACACGATTCAGATCAACTCTAAATACAGACGGACAAAACTCTATAAGAGAGTAGAGGTTATTTATCAGAAAAACGAAATATTTTGTGATTGTTTATAGAGATGTCCCTTGTCTTATTCATGAGGTCGCTGCACATCTGTTCAACAGACCAATATAAACAAGCGAAGATGCTGTGAGCAGTTGTTATGGGTTCGTTAGAGACCCAGTCTGATGGCCTGCAGAGGAAAAGCATTCTTGAGATTCTTTGGACGCACGGCAGATCAGTGGAGTCAGTGTACCTACTGTGCTCATTTTCTGACACACACGGTGTCAGTGATGGACGCCGCTTCACTCTAAGACTGCAGGACTCTCTAATAGACTTTTTTATACTTCAATTTCACAAAGATGATTTTCTCATTTTTGTGACTAGATTTGAATCAAATTTATTCAAATGTGAGTTTTAAATACCATGTCATTGGAACACTGGTTAAATATTAGGACTTCTGCCCTGAATGTTCAACTCAAAATGTCAGAAATCATATTGAAAGAAGCCAAAGATAAATGTAGCTCAATTAATGGTTTGCATCAACAGACCTGATTCCAGCAGGAACTCGTTAATTGTATAAAATCAATGCACAAGGTTACATTTCACATACACATTTCTTTTCAAATCAATAAACGACTGACAAGTAAACATTACGGTTGGTGTGGCAGTAGATCGGATGTGTTTTCACTAAACATTTAAATCCTGTTGTGAAAAGATGCTGGGGAACTAGAGACCTGAGGTCGGAGATTGTCATGCTTGTATTTGTGCTTTGAAAACAGGTGCAAACTTTGTGGAATTCCAGAGTGTGTGCACACTATCGCTGGCATCACCTCAGCCTATTTGTATGATTCCACTGGGCTGTTTGTGATATCTGTTTGTGCTTAAAAAACACACGACACACGAACAGCAGCAAAATGTGAAAAAAAAGAAAATGAAAAGGTTTTCCAGGTCAAATCAAAGAAAGTTTTTTTTATCATTGGTCGTTTTCTTACACTCACACTTTCCTTTCAAATGTGATGACTCCTTTAACTTAAGTTACAGAAACACACATGAAATATTGGTGATTTTTTCTGAGCTGGTTTATAAATAGATATCTATATCTACAAAGCCTTTATTGAAGAAGAAAATGCAGAATAAGAATCAAGGGAATTAGTGTTTGCTCGAGTTTTTCACCCGGGTCTGACTGCTGACGCCGAGGGAGGACATGGGAGAGGAACTTCCCAACAGTTCCTCTCCCCTGAGGCCGTGGGCTGCCCCAGTGGTAGAATGTAATAGAAAAAAGAAGTCGTCAGGTGAAGTCACTGAGTCACTATTTACACCCTCCACCATCCTTCATTACTTGACATTTATCCCATAATAAATGATTTCACAGAGAGTAACCCGAGGCCTGACCCAGCTCAGGGAAACATTTGCATACATGTGTAGTATTTAATCTTCAATAACACACTCACATACATTACTGTTGTTACAGTAGCACACACACACACACACACACTCGTACACACTCTCCATATAAAGTCAAACCAGGAGCAGGTGCTTCATTAGTGGGTTCAGAATCATTTCCTCCCACTGTTGGCTGATGCTGCTGTCAGTGGGCGGAGCCATGTGACACTAAGGGGTGAACTGACTCACTCCTAATTAAGAGCCTATTGGGTTAATCGTTGTGGTTGCCGTGGTTACGGCACACACCTTTAATATGTTATAATTGTTCTTGTTTATATAATGGTAATTATTGGTAGTTTCTCCCAAAATAGGTTTTTTCCTCCTTTGTGAGCGTGTGCTACAGCAAAAGGTTAAACGCATTCCCACGGGATCATTGTGGAAACAGAGTGGACAACTGGACTGATGTTCAGAGGTGAAAGACATTTCACCCCAGGCCAGACCAGGTCACATTTTGTAGCGCTGTGTGCGTGTGATATTTATGAGTGATTGCACATTAACCTAATCAAGAGCCGCTCTGACTCAAACTATTTGTGTAAATGTTAAACTCCGTACACCTTCTGTACACATAAACAAACACGCACCTCCCCATCTCTGCACCGTCATCTTGGATTTCACACGTCTGCTTTTCCCTACGCAGCGATTTTCTGTGATTACTGGCTCCTGCTCCGGCGTCTCCGTCAGCACTTCTATCAGAGTGAAAGACAAAGCATAAATCCGCAGCCAATCTACTCAAAGTGAATCACAGAGTCAACCTCTGCCACCGTGTAGCTCAGTGTGAAGTGGCCCTGTTCAGTCTGTGCATGCGGCGAGATGAAAAGATGAAGGGCAACACGCAGGTAAACAACGGAGCAAACAAGACAAATATAATGACAAGGATGAGGGGAGAGGATAAGTCACCGACGTGCTCCTTTATTAGAGGCGCTAGTCACTTTGTGATGACAGTATTTAAAGAAGAATTACGGCACACGACTCTGAGGATATGTGAGCTCTGAGCGGTTATGTGAGCTAATATTAAAAAGGCCAATTAAATCTTCCCTTGTTTGCAAGTGAAGCACAGCCTCTGTAACGTTAACCTGCAGGTTCAGATCTCGGTATCTCCTTGCATGCTCAAAATATCGTTGCAGTAACGTAGTACTGCGTTATGAGTATTCTGTTATACTGTGTACTGTGTACAGTATAACAGAGCTCCTGAATTCTGTTTCTCTCCTGATTGTTGAGCACAGTCTCATCACCGGGTGTTAAATTGCTCAGAAAAGCCGTCCAGACAGCATTGTCACCTGCAGTAGATGTCAGCCGCCCAGATAAGAGTCAGAGCCCAAGAGTTAACGTTCACCACAAAAGGTCAGGGCAGGTTTATTGATATCAGCCTCAGGTTTTCTCCGTGCTGACACTTTATAGCCGTTATTTATTGGTTTTCAGGAAGGCTGGGGAGAAAACTGTTGCCAAACTTGTCATTCAAGTATTCAAATATTATGACATTTGAGCCGGGAGCTCTATACAACACTGTTGTTTACTGTAGAAACACTGTGCAGTTTCTATTGGCTGGCATGTACAACAGCTGGGCTCACAGTATACAGTAATTCTACAGCAAGACAACGTAAACTGTCTGCTTTAGCCGGCGACCTAAAGACAAAAAAAGTCTTACACTGTGTACATTTGAGGATGATGAATAATTCTTTCTCAGAGACAGAAGTCTAAGTCTGAGAGCAGCAAGGTATTAAAGAATAAAAGGATTGCTGAGCTTCTTTGTAT